CACATGATCACAAGCTCGCAATGTGCTTGGAGACAATAAAGTGTTTGGGTGTATAATAAAAAATATATCGTCGATTAAAAGTCGTAACCGCTCAACAAATGCTTAAAAGGTGTCGAAAAAGGCTTCTACCGTGTTTTTCAAAACGCTCATTACATTCCTGTCTTCCTTGAAGCGAATATGGAGCAGAACTCGGGGCATTTTGAGAGAATACATTTTTTTCAGAAAATCAACCCACTTTTTTGTAAAATTTTTGGTCAAAAATCAGAACTTCACATGCTTGTTTTTTGAGCTCAATGGATTATTTCCCATCTAAGAAAGTTCGTTGTTGTTGTGCCAGCTGAAAAAATTCTTAAAATGGGACGAAAATGTAAATTATTTTGAATCTAAAGCTTCTATGGTTTTCACTCGTTGCATTCTTGGCTTTCAGAGAAAATAATATAGAACTCGAGGCTTTTTGAGAAAAAACTTTTTTCCAAAAATCGAATTTTACCCCTTACGAAATTTTCAGTCAAAAATCAAAATTTCACATGCGTGTTTTTTGAGCTCAATGGATTAATTTCGATCTAAGATGCCCTCCAAGGTGCATATATAAACAGTTTGGACCTTTAATCAGAAATACATCGTCAGTTAAAAGTCGTGGCCGCTCAAAAACTGCTTTAAATGAGCAAAAAATGTCGATTAGTTCGGATTTGAAGCTACTAGCGTGGTTTTCAATGAGTTCATTCGTGCAGGCTGAAGCTGGAGCAAAAATATTTCGTTGCCTGTCTCCAAAAACTTACTTATATTTTTTCTCCTTATTTCTAAAACTGATTTTCGAATATTCCTGCAATATTAATTGAATGTCGTTTTTCGTGAAATTGTTGCGTATTCTTCTCCATACATTAGTTTATATCACATATCAGCTTTGTTAAACTTCCAAAATTAGCTTTGGTAGGAAGTGAATTATATCCTTGACACTAATATGCATTTAATCGTTAAACTACGCCCAGTGTAGATGGAGAGGAAATTATTATACTACAAACTGTGTGTAAATTTGCTCTTCCCAAATGGAACTGATTCGATTACATCATAACAATTGAAGAATCGCAATTAAGTCGGTTATTTATAAGCTGAAGGAGATTCGCAGCCTCCATCAAAAAACTGAATTTAAACAGTTTGTTTCAAATGAGAATAATTTCAATTCAATTCAATTACATATAATATATTGCAGTTACATCATTTTCATAAACGCATCATGTTTCCCACGCGTTCCAACATTTCCGGCTTTTGTTTTGATATCGTGCATTTGAAATAATCTCATAATTGTTCAATATTTTTTAACACCAAATCTCGAATTTTGCTAACTGCTACATGAGCTGTTAAATCGAATTTGCGTGGGTACCAATAAAACACACAATAAATATTGTACTGCTGGCGGTTGCTCACAATTATTCCGAAATTAAATGCATGATATTTTTAATAACGCACACCTGCGATAAAGAATAAAGTCTGCAATCATTCATTGCACAAAAGTGAAGCTTACTAATCTAATTAAAATGCATTAAGCGTAAACAACGTATTCGTGTTATTGGAATACCTATTCAAATTGTCGATAATTGTTATTCTGACTAATGCCCATATGTCGAAACTGTTACGATGGAAAGTAAAAATACTTCCATCCGTCTCGGAATGTTTCCTTGCACAGAATATGAAACATACACTTCCTGAATTTAATTAAAATTGGATATATTTCAAAGACTCCGTCTGAATCCGTAATATTATTTAAATACAGAAGAACTAAACTAATGTTTCAGGCACTATGCTGTGGGCCAATTCCCAACAATTTAACCCGATTATCAGCCTGCATGTCATCGATATTGGCTTTTCTGGAATGTCCCATATGTTTAGACACCATTTCTCCACCTACATATCAATGCGACAACGGACATTTAATCTGCATAAGATGTAGAGCCAAGTCTGAAAGGTGTCCAGTTTGCAGACTCAGACTGTCCAGAGGACGGTCTTTGGTCTCAGACCAGGTAATTAATTAAACTGGTAATCCTACAGTGCGTTCACGATGAAAGCAACAAATTCACTTTAAATGTATTATTCTACAAGTTTCCGGGAAAGCGCTCGATCAAATCAACTAGCAATTCTAATTGCATTTCAAATTCAGGCGATGGCTGATAAAAAGATTGAAAAATACACGTTGTCGATCTAGTTTCCAATGGAAAATTTCCAAAATTTACGCAAACAGCAATTGTAACTTTTTAGCAGAAACCTCTTGTGCCAGTAATGGTGAAACTAATTAGCCGAATTTCTCATTTAAGCACAAACCATTTAATTTTGTACATTGAAACAAATCAGGCTGAATATTTACCGAAAAAAACCTGTTTAAATACGTTTATATTTGTGTACCTAATTATAAAGCCGACCCGTGGGTAGAACCCAGGAAAAGTTTCTTTTCAATATCTGGTTATGACTACTTTGAAATGTGTTTTCCTTTTTTTATTACTTAAACGAAAAAACAGAGTATAATAAAACCAGAGATTTTATTTGAGCTAACCGCCTTTGAATGCGTTGAATAAGCCGTACAATTTTTTTGTATTTATTGTTTTAGGTGTACAATGCGGTGATTGACGCATTTGATTTGAAAGAAGACGCCAATGATATCCGGTCTCAGAAAATTCAGCAAATCTTCAAACCGAAAGTGAAAAACACAAATATACCCAATATTAAAGTCACTGAATGCTATGCGAACAAATTTTTGGCGAAACTTGCGGGCAAGTCATCATCGGTGGGTAATCTTTCCTCAAACAGTACTCTATTAGTGCCTAGCCAGAACGACCATTTGAAAATGAAGAGTTTGTCTTCGAGTGAGATTTTCAACGAATCGACACCGACAGTTTCAAGAGTTGGCTCGATCACTAGATTAGGACGGCGAAAATACAATGATACCACTATGGATGACTCTTTAACTAATATAAGCGATTTCGGAGATAGGGCCTCTTCTTGTCACGGATCATTTGAGTTTCTTAATTCAAATTTGGAAAATCAACAACGAAATTCCATATGTGCATCGTCAAAGGACGAGCTTTCTTATTATTGTCCATTTGACTCAAAATGCACTACTCTAATCAAAGGTACTAAAGTAAATGTTTTTTTAGGAAGCAATTAAGAACATGGTGAAGGGACAGTGGAAAATTGCAAATATACTGCGCTCCAAATTCATCTCATAGCTTAAATTTCATTAACTTTTGCCTAGAAATATTTTCTCAACCGATAATCCGATAAGTATAAAATATGGTACAGTGTGTTTCAATAGTGTCACTTCGTGTCCTGTCTTCTGAATAATTTTGATCTTTAATCGTTTGATAAAGAGAGATAAAAAGAGAGAGATCATTCGAGAGATATTCATTTTTTTATAACCAGTTACATTTTTCGCACGAAATTTATTTCAATTTTACTTTTTCATTCCGAAGACTGTTGTGCAAACAGAATTTTATTAGAAGATGCTTCTCATTATTTTGTTACGTATGTAATTAGGAAAACCAAAATTTTAACCACTAAGTTGAAAGGGCACAGAAAGTGGCCAAATAAACAGAGCTATCAGCTTGTAATAATAGTGTTATTCACAGAGCATTTTTGCCGCAAATTTTCTTATCAAATGAAAAAAGTTTAAGTACATTTCTCGAGGAAATTATGACCAGTCATAAACAAAATCATCGAATGGCTGAGGATGAACAAACGATTAAAGATCCAAACTACTCAGAAGACATAAGGCTATAACATCGTAAACTTTTTTCTCTGTGCGCTAATTGCCCGCAGAAATATTTTAAGTTTAATCCAAAAAACATCACAGTAAATAAACATCCTATTCTATTTTACAGGGTGCTAATATGTGAGTTGCGTAAATATATTATATTTATGTCATAACTTAAATTTTGATTCCAATCGAATCACCGACTTAGAAAATATTCACAGTCAAAGTTAGGAAATATTTAAACTTTGAGTTTGCAGAGCATTATATTTCTGAGAGCTTTCTAAAATCGCTTCTAAAAGGTTTTAAAACTCAATTCGATATCTGCAACTTTGCCTTTCAAAACATTGCCATTTAGGCAAAAATGTTCCCACAATCGACAATGTATTCCCCTTTCAGTAGAATTTCGGCGTATTGATTTTTCAGATAAATAATTAAAATTTCTGTTTATAGGTGTGAACTTTAGAGAACATTTCCAAACCAATCACACCGGCCCATTAATCCAATATTTCGGATCATCGTTTGAAATCCTGCTGAAGAATATAGAAAACGAAATGTGTTTTGTCGTCAACAACGACAGCAATATTTTCTTTATTAAAATAGTTACTGTATTTGATAAAGCAGATCAAGAAAATAAGTAAGTTTTCTCCATCTACCGCTATTTAATCTTGTAAAATTTCCATTTAATTTTTTTAGAAAATCTGACGCAATCTTAGCTTGGTGTTGGTACTTGGGACCGAAAGTTGCATCAAAAACCTTTGAAATGAAATTGGAGGTAAAGGAATCCGAAGCCCCTCTATTGCGAGTAGTCGGCTCAGTGTTTTCTCTAAACGCCACTTCTTTTTTCGATATAACCGAATTTAAAAGAGGGATATTTTTGAGCTCGAAGACTATAAATGCATTGGGTCATATTGATCAGTTGAGTCTATCAGTTAATATTACCTGTGTGGATGTATGAGAATAGATGCTAGAATTAGATAGGTGCTTATTAAGGGCAAATTACTATATGAAAATACTTTTTTTAAGCGGAAATTATAGAATTTATATAAAAAATACACTTCAATGGCAGTATTATTGTAAGATTTTTCAGGGTGAAAAGCAAATGTTACCCAAATGCAAATAGAGCGCAGAGTGTAAAACGCGCATATTAAATATATTCAAAAAGGTTCCAATGAATGGTAGGCGAGTTCAAGTTAATATTGTCCAGAATAATCCTTCAATGTAAGCAATGTGGCCTTCAAGCCTTCTACAAGCTCTTCTGTGAAGATCAAAAAGATGAACTGTAATTACACTTGCAGCACTAAATGACCGAAATGTGTGTATTATTTATATATTATATTACATCTAAGTGTGTCGTTTTGCTAGTAAGAGGAATTAGCCTGCATATTGTATGTAAATAGTGTGTAATAGTATTTGTATTGAAACACATAAAAACAAATTTTAAGATGACACTCAATTAGGCCTGGGTAACTCAATTAATTTTTAGAAGTTGGCGCAATGCTATGCAAATCGTTTGCGTTGGGTTGGGTGCTCCAACCCAACGAACCGGCGCAGTAACTCAGTTCCGTGGTTGGAAAAATGTTGATTACTTTTTTCTTGTTTTAAGATTTATTTTAAGGGCCATTTATCAATAATATTTTTAATATTTCCTCAAAATTTCAGAATTTTTCAGTTTTAGCTAAATTACTATGTTTTTCTAAATGCTCAATTTGCAAAAAGATCACTTAAAAATACTGACAGTCTTAAAGTATTTTGCGCGAAAAAAACACGAACAGAATCAGCAAAAGTTTATAATAAATTATTTGAAAAACTCGTCACCTCCATTCCTTTGAAGACTGTTAAAGCTTGTTAAAAAATGTGATTTTTTAGTTTTAACTGATTTTTTTGCGTTACTTTCCACTCAAAAACGATCTATTTTGTAGAGTTTTACTTAAAAATACTGACGATTTGGATGGATTACTCGAAAAATTACAAGATAAATCTATAGGTTTGTAGGAATTTTACAAAAACTTATTTCAGCTTCGAATTCGGGACAAAAACGAAACTAAATTTCTCCCGTTTTTTCACGAGAATCCTTAAGATTTTCTCAAAAACCGATCACAAAACTAAAAGTTTTTAATCGAAAACGCAAAAAAAGCATAATTTTCTGATGATTTTCTTTTTTTACAATAATGGGGTGTTTTCAGTTAAAAATGACAAAAATAATTTTGCTAGAAAATTCGCCTCATTCATCGGTTTGCAGAGAATTTTAGAAAACCAATTTTGCACAAAAACCAAATAATTTTAATCAGTTTTTTACTGAGGGTAATTAAGATTATCTTGAAGAAACGGCTAGAGACTAGAAAACAAATATTTGAAAACTTCGCCACCCTCATCGCCCTGAATATTTTTAAAGTTTCTTTAAAATTTCAGGTCATTCCAGTTTTAGCAAAGTTTCTATTAAGCAATTCTTGCTACGCAAATAACGTATTATTTGTTGTTTTTAAAATACTGAAATGCTTCAGGTATTTTCTATGAAGACAGTAAAATTAATTGTTCTTTTCTCGTTTCTTTAAAATTTCCGGATTTTCCCGTTTTAGACCAAAGCTCAATCGTATGCGCAAAAGCTCCATATTGATGGCTTTTTTGTTAGATGTTAAAATTCCGTACTCGGTCATGAGTTATTACCAATGAGTTGAAACTCATTAACTCAGAGAGCGGTAACAACTCAAAAGCGCAACTCAACACAGTGTTACTCAGGCCAAATACCATTTGATTTTGACTGAAATTCACAGCTGAACGACAATAATTTTAAATTTATGCGGAATTGATTTATATAAAATAGTCCACTGTAGACAACCTAACTAGTTAATGCTGAAAAATTGTATGAAATAAATTTAAAATTTAAAAAATCGCACCATATGCCCATTGAGAATACAAGATCCGTTTAATTTAAGGTGTAATTCACAGTAGATAAAACCAATAACTAAAATAAGGCAAAACAAAGTTGTTTACAGTAGCACTTACTTACACTGACGTTAATATTAAAAAGCTGAGTGGAGAGGATTTAGAATTTGTAAAATAAAATATGTCCATTGAGAATACAAGAGTTTAAATTCATTCGCAGACGAAATATCCAATAAAGGGCACAAAGTACCTTCAATCAAAGTTGTAATTCACAGTAAAACGACACTAATTTAGAGTATATATAATAACAGTTCTTTGTAGAAAATATCATTCGTTATCAGTTGGGAACCGTTTTTTCGAAAATTTTTAATACCGAATTGTCCTTGTTTCTCGTCAAATAAAGATTTCATCCAACAATATAAAATGCTAGTCCATATAAGTATGAGACTAAAAGCAATCTACATATGGCAGTCAAGGGTAAAAAATGCCAAACTTACCGAAAGCTGCCTGGTGCCACCTGAAAAGAGGGGAAAACATTCTTTAGTATAACAGAAACTTAGTTTAAAGTCGAATTATCTTAAATAAGGAAGGAAAATAAAGCGAAATAGCCTGCCTGCCTTGCTTTGAAGAAAGCCTGCTTTGCTTTTCAAAAAGCTAAACTCAGTTTAAGCTAAGGGCTATATAGATAGAGATTCTTCTTACCAGCTTTCCGCAAACTGGTGCTCCAACGTCAATTTTCTACCCAGCAATCTGCAAAAAGTACCATGCACTACACTATTTCGTTCATTGTTGGTAATAAAGTGAATATTTAGTCAACTTTTCGAAAAAACTCGTACGCTATTGAGATTTTTGATGATATGGTATAATCGTTGGCTTGATTGTCCCTTGGATGGACCATTGCTTTACTTTACGCTTTGATTTCAGTTATTTTGTTGTTGGAAAATTTGCAGAAATTTTCTTTCCATGCGAAAATATTTTCAAAGGCGTAGGTAAAGAGTGCCCAAATAACAATTAAAATGTTTAAAAGTGCATCACATGATTAGTCGCATGGACATGTCGATAATAAAGAAGCGCAACAATGAATCCAACAGCTCAAAAGACATAAAAAAAAGAACATTGAACGATTATGGTCGTTACAGGCCAAGTTATTGTCTTTTTTTCACTCATTTTTCGAGTTTTGCGAGGATTTTTGCTTATAACTATTTTTTGACGATACTAAGAGCGCTTATTAACCTGACGTTGAGAGGCACCAACACATGAAAGGGCAAGTTATTCGTTAAAAGTTCCGAAAATGAAAAAAACTAAGCACAATTAGCAGGGTGAAATGGCGAGGGAAACGTCTTAGCGTCGAGATTATCGCCCAAAATTACATGAACACAAAAAGTTCAACTTAAAAAAAACTAAGCGATGACAATGCGCATAATTTTAATTAGAATTGGATTTTTCTACAAATCCTCGAGCAAACGCTTTTTCAAAGAAATTAAAGCCAAGTAAAAGTCACATAAAAGATTCCTTTTGGGTATCTTGGAATATCGTAGACTAGATGGCGATGTGGAGGGCCAGCCAGAAAATTGCAAGCTCGGCGAAAAAGAGGGTTAGGTCACATTCGACGATCAGGGCCATATTTAAAAATGTTGTGAGGCAATTTGCACTGCTTTTACCATTTTCTTGAAGAAAAGTGATCATTGACTATAATAGTGTGAAAAATCGTGCAAAATGTCGGCTTCTAAACTCAAACAACCGGTACCCAGAGTACCCGAAACAATCAATTTTCCAGCTGAAGAGGAGACGATTCTGAACTACTGGAAGGCCATCAAAGCGTTTGAATCCTGCTTGAAACAGTCCAAAGGCAGACCCAAGTAAGTATCCTGGATTTTGCTATATAGTATAATTGATGGAAAATTTCCCATTTGATAATATGTCCATAAAAATACCCGGCATCATTTTTAATCAGTCCTGCAACCGATTGTTCTCCATTATCGCCTATTATAGATATACTTTCTATGATGGGCCTCCTTTCGCGACGGGGCTTCCTCACTATGGCCATATCTTGGCAGGAACCATTAAAGACGTGGTAACCAGATACGCCCATCAACAGGGTTATCATGTTGAAAGACGTTTTGGGTGGGACACTCACGGGTTGCCTGTTGAATTCGAAATTGATAAAGCCTTAAACATCAAAGGCCCAGAAGATGTGATGAAAATAGGCATTCGAAAGTATAATGAGGAATGCAGGAAAATTGTCACTCGCTATTGCTCAGAGTGGGAATATACCATTACCAGACTAGGGAGATGGATAGGTACAAGTTAATTCCCATACTACTCCAACGTTCTATCACTACATTATTGCAGATTTCAAAAATGATTACAAAACTCTTTATCCCTGGTTTATGGAATCCGTCTGGTGGATTTTCTCGCAATTGTTCCAAAAGGGCCTGGTATACAAAGGCAACAAAGTGATGCCATACTCAACTGCCTGCAGCACTCCATTATCCAACTTTGAATCTGGTCAAAACTACAAAGACGTTGTTGACCCAGCTGTGACCGTCAGCTTACCAATAATCAACGATACTGAGAATACATGTCTACTAGTATGGACCACCACCCCTTGGACCTTACCAAGCAATATGGCTGCATGCGTTCATCCAACTCTTAAATACGCCAGAGTCAAGCACCTCTCCACTGGCAACTTCTACATTCTTATGGAATGCAGAGTTGAGACAGTATTCCATCCAGGAGACTACGAGATCTTAGACAGATTCCGGGGAAAATCGCTTGAAGGTTTGAGGTACCAACCAGTGTTTCCCTATTTTGAAGAGTTTGGTGACAAAGGTAAGCATTTCCATTTTCAATTATTACAGCCGGGTCCTCCTCATATTGATATAAGCTTTAAATTTTCCGATATTTTTCCTTCAGGTTATTTAGAACGAGTGAAAGTTACTAGCATGGTCAAAGTTAAAAATTATTGGGTTCGTTTTACAGCTCGGGTGATATAAATACCTTAAAAAATAAATACGGAAACATTGTATAAACAGTCTATCTACTTCAGTTCGCACCGTATGGACAACTTTTTTCTTATTCATTTTACGAAGAAAAGTTACCTAAAAGTCTCCTTGATCCAAAACCTAAAATGCAACCATCATATATTATGTTTTTGTATCGTATACGAGGTTTATCAAATAATATGAATTTTGCTCAAGATTAAAGTACATACTTTTATTTTTGACAATGTCGAAAATTGTTATTAAGAAAAGTTGATCAAAACTAACATGGCGTGATTGCATATTTGAACGTAATATTTAGTTCTAATCATCTTTTTTTAATAACAAGTTTCAATATTGTCAAAATCAAAGGTACTTTACTCTTGAGCAAAATTCGTATTTTTTACAAACCGGTTACACGACTGATAAAATTGAATCTTAAATTTTAGAACATGCAGAACTTTGTATAAAGAGTTTTTAAAGAGTCAACTTTTCCTAATAAAAACTTTCAATGTCAAAAATATACACATACTTTATTCTTCAGCAAAAATCATATTTTCTCATACACGGCTGAAAACTCTGAGGTTGGTTACATTTTAGGTTTTGGACCAAGCAGACATTTTTATGAAGAACAAGTTTACTTTGTGTTTTGAGTTTTCTTAGATCGAGGAATCTAAATTATTTATTACTTAGCTTGCAGTTTCTGAAAGCTGCAACAGTCTGGAATCATTTAAAACATCAGAACTTTTTTGGTTTTAAAATATCGCTTTTTTGTCGGTATCTGGTTGTCCGATATTTCTTAAGCAAAAAATTTGTACTTGGATTAAGTCGATATCTCACCGTTTTCGAGATATTGCACATCGAAACTTCTAGTGACTTTTTAAGTAACTCAAATTTTGAAACCCAAAAAAGTCTTGTGCAGCTTGCGTAGAAGTAATATGAAATATGGATTTCTCGATCTAAAAAAGCTCCAAATAAAATTTGTTTTGGTAATAATACAGTAACATTTTATTTACACTTTCACGCTCTGTACCTCCGAAACTATTAACTTTTGGATAAGACAAATTTGCCTGAAATGCATTATTTTTGCTAAACGGTAAATTTTGTCACATTGATTGAAAACCACCCTGTATATGTATGTTATATGTGTGTCACCTAACTCATTATTTATCTAATAATAAAAGTGATTTTGTTCTATATCGTTCTTGATCAAAATCAAAAACTGCGTCTTCATATAAACAAGTTCATAGATTGGAGTATCTTGATATGTTCTAATTTTTTAACGTTCAAAAACACAAACTGTTTCCGAATGTTCTTACTTTTCACCGTGTTGTCGGTTCTTTGCTAATAAAACCACCTTGCACCAAAATGTATCATTTCAATTAGCCTTAAGACTATTTGGACATAAACATATTGCGATTGCAGAATATCGTGCAATTATTATCATTGTATTTTTTAAAAATTTAACTCGAATTACGGCTTAACGGTACCGTTTTTGCTCCATAGCATTAATATGGATGAGTGAGCAAGTCGTTATTATTTACTAATTATATAAGGCAGCTGGGTCGTTTTGGGGCTTAGAAGATGTTTAAAACTTTACTTTATACCAAACCGAATACAGTATTATTAACATAATTTTTTAAGTTAATTTTCATCAATTTGGTATTCGGTTTTCAGAAAATGAATCCGCATCGCAACTAAAATCTGCATTTTCTATTCCCTGTTAGAAATATTCAAATTATTATTCAAAGAATCGCTTTTAGACATTTGTGTTTTCAGTTTGCAGATATAGTTCCCGTGCAAAATCGTCAATTTTTTCGTCTCTTCTTCGTAGTATTTTCCAAATATCTCACTAGGTTTACTTCCAGGTGCTTTTCGAGTGCTGGTAGATGAATACGTGACTTCCGACTCCGGTACAGGCATTGTCCACAATGCCCCGTACTTTGGAGAAGACGATTACAGGGTATGCCTGGCTGGGCAAATTATTACCAAAGATATGGATCCCGTCTGCCCTTTGGATAGTGTTGGCAGATTCGTAAATCCTGTGACTGATTTTGCTGGCCAGTACGTGAAAGATGCTGATAAAGCCATTATTGCCCATCTCAAAGCGAATGGGCGTCTCATCCATCAGTCCCAGGTATGCTAGACAGTCGCTTTGCTATCACACCTGAATAAATTGTTCTCCAGATCAAGCACAGTTATCCATTTTGCTGGCGCTCTGATACTCCGCTGATTTACCGAGCAGTTCCGTCTTGGTTCGTACGAGTTGAACAAATGCAACAAGAGTTGCTGAAGGCTACTTCTAAGACTTACTGGGTGCCCGAATTCATCAAAGAAAAACGTTTTGGAAATTGGCTGAAAGATGCGCGTGACTGGGCCATCAGCAGAAACCGATACTGGGGTACCCCAATTCCCTTATGGATATCCCCATCCGGAGACGAAATTCGGTGCATCGGCAGCATTGCTGAACTAGAAAAACTAACTGGGAGAAAAGTCACAGATTTACATCGCGAGTCTATAGACCATCTTGAGATTCCTAGTTTCATCCCTGGCAGGCCACCTTTGAAGCGTATTCCTGAAGTATTCGATTGCTGGTTTGAATCTGGTAAGTACTTATGATTTGAACTCGATTTCAAGTCATCAGCAATTAATATTTTTGATCAAACCTTGGAGCTGAATACTAAAGCTAAGCTGTATATTTCCAGGTTCTATGCCATACGCTCAACAGCACTATCCATTTGCAAATCTCAAAGAGTTTGAGGACAACTTCCCCGCCGACTTCATTGCAGAAGGAATTGACCAAACGCGCGGCTGGTTCTACACTTTGACTGTTTTGTCGACTGCTTTGTATGGTAAGGCACCATATAAGAATCTAGTTGTCAATGGTTTAGTACTGGCTGGAGATGGACAGAAGATGTCCAAGAGAAAGAAGAATTATCCAGACCCTCTAGAAGTAGTGGGCAAGTATGGCGCTGACGCATTGCGCTTGTATCTGATCAGCAGCCCTGTTGTTCGAGCAGAAAATCTGAGATTTAAAGAAGAAGGAGTCAGAGACATAATCAAAGATGTGTTCTTGCCTTGGTACAATGCTTTCAGATTTTTGTTCCAAAATATTGAGGTTTTCGTCGAAGGGAATCAAAAGCAATTTAATTATGACCCTAACAATCTGACAAGCGATAATATTATGGATAAGTGGATATTGTCTTCCACTCAGTCACTTTTGGAATTCGTGCAAAAAGAAATGAAACTGTATCATCTTTATACGGTTGTGCCATCATTGACCAAATTCATTGATTATTTGACCAATTGGTATGTAAGAATGAACAGAAAACGACTAAAAGGAGAAGGTGGAGAAGCTGACGCCTTTGTGGCTTTAACAACTTTATACAACGTGCTTGACAATATTGTGAGAATGATGGCACCATTTGCGCCGTTCATTGCAGAACATATGTATCAGTATATGAAGGTACTGAATGCCTCATCCTCGGACAGCGTTCATTTTCTAATGTTTCCCACTGCCAATTCAGCCTTGATTCATTTGGACATTGAAAGAGCAGTTGCTCGAATGCAAAGTGTCATTGAACTTGGACGAGTTGTGAGAGACCGAAAAACTATACCCATCAAATATCCGCTGCCTGAAGTTATTGTTGTTCATCAAGACCCTCAACATATCGAGGACATTCTAGCGTTACAAGAATATATTCTTTCCGAGTTGAATGTTCGGAAAATCAGTACTACTACTGATAAAAGCAAGTTTGGTATCACGTTGAGAGCTGAGCCAGACCACAAAGTATTGGGACTTAGATTAAAACAAGAATTTAAGGCTGTGACTCAGGGAATTAAAGCTCTTTCGAATTATGAGATAAATGATATGATCTCCAAAGGTTACCGAACCATTTGCGGACAAATCATTGAAATTTCCGAAGTTCGACTGATTTTTAAATCTGAGTCTCTGAATATTAATAAGTACGAAGTGAATAGTGACAACGACTTTCTGATTTTGATGGATATAAGTCCGGATTCTTCAATGCAAAATGAGGGAATAGCAAGAGAGATAATTAATCGCATTCAAAAGTTGAGAAAGAAGGCTCATTTGGTACCAACAGATGAAATATCAGTATTTTACAGAACTGAAGGAGATATAAATCGAGTGGCCACTGAGTATAAGGAGTTTATTGAGGGTACTATCAAAGCTCAGCTAAAATCTGACAATGAGCGAAAAGCTACCGATCAATTAATCATAGAAGAAACTCAAAAACTGAAGGACTGCAGCTTTTATATTGCATTGACAAAATCAGCTAGCCTCACTAATGAACCTGGCAGTATCTGGGTAAACGTACAACTAGTTGGAATATCTTCAAGATATTGCCACGGTGCTTCAAAGGCTGTGATTCTCTCAAAAATCGGCACAAACTCCATTAGTGTGGAGCAGATCAAGCACGAAATTTCCAAACTCTTTGGAATAGATAATTTCGAATGTGCTATATCAGAAAACGAACTGCTGACATCAGAGCAAGCTCTGATAAAAGTAGGTGGAAGTACCATTTTCGTAATTCCAAAAGACAAAACCGTCGCATTACCCAAACCATCATCAGAACCGTTCTGCTCATTTTTCAATGTTAATGTTACACCGCAGAACGATCCTGGGATGGTTTTAGTGGAAAATCCTGCTGGAAATCCAGTTGGGTCCGACATCCAAGAGGAAATGGAAGTTCTATGGACCGAAATTCCTTAATATGTTTTTTAACAGTTAACAGATTTTTATTTTCACGTTTTTATTCGATTATTTTTCTATTATATAAGTTTGTTTCGCTAGATTTAAGTATTAAAGCATTTTGAATATGATTTTTGTGTTATTGGCTGAGTTAAGTCCCTGTAAGCAAACCCTTGATAAGGGGCGGCTATTATTGAAGTGGCTTTGCTGCACATTTTCGTGCTTTTGATGACTATTTGCGTTTTGTGGAGTGAACATTGAAAGTTTTCTTAATTTCTTATAAATTACTAAAGAAACTGGAATAAACTTCCGCAAAGTGCTTCAAAATTCAGGGTTGTTGCGACACTAGAATTTTCTCGCCTTCCTCCTAAAACTTGGGCGTTTTACAAACGGTAAGTAAACAATTTTAAAAATAATTTTCTTGTTTATGTTTACACTGAAAAATTGCTTTCATGACGGCCTCAAACCCCGAAAAGTCCACAAGTTTCACATTTAGGTTTAAAAAGTAAACTAATTTTATGGGACTTTTTGAAGCCATTACTTAGCTTTATACTTGCAAATTAATTCTTCGGGCGTTAAAAAAGAGCTCTCCGGAAAGTGCAAGTTTCACTTTTAGAGTTGGTTAAAAAATCAAGTTATTTACACACTATACCCGACACTACTTTCGAAAATTGCTGGGGTATAGTTTGGTAAGATGGATTTTGTGTGCGTCTTACGAGCAACCCATGATTATTGACCGTCAAGGAAATCAATATTTTTCATAGAAACTAGAAATTGCAAAATATCAGTTGTTTCCACTAAAAACGAATGTTTGTATTAAGTTTCCAGTGGCGAAGGAATATTTATTAGCGTGAGATAAACATGTATTCTCTATGAATATACCTGAGAACAGTAATCTAGTGTAAAACGCAAGTCCCTATAAATATGTGGTTATTTTTAACGACCTCCCGATCTCGCTCGGAGAATAAACGCATTTAGCGAATGGGTGGAAGCGTGCAATTATACTTAACTGTGTTGCCAAACACTTGCACGTATTATCCAATTGTTCAAACTGTATTTAATTGTTTCGTGTAAACCTGCAAAGAGCCAGCTTTATCAAGGCTGTTATAATCGATAATGGGTAAACATTCACAAATCCTTCGTAATAGTTGCTACTTTGTGTTATCCAACATGGATTTATTGGTAATATTTTCCAGTGTCTACTCAATCCTTCTGGGGGGAAAATGCTCAGTATGGCAACACAGCAAAGGCCGGATTCCATTCTTAAAAATTAACGAAGGGTGTTTGCTCTCTGCCGCCTCCCATTTCTACTATATGAGTTTTGGAACCCACATTTTTCACGTTGTTCAACATAAATATTATTACAATTTTTGAAAAAACCCTGTGCATTTGAGAATTTTCCGTCGAATATGTTCAGACCTCACATTTATAGATATAATAATGGTACCTAGTAAAATAAACTGTGGGAAGAAAATATTTACGCTTGAAGTAAAACACTAATAATCGTTTACATTTTTAGTGGGGAAGTGTCGAGCAAGGCGTGTGGAGAAAAACTGGTGATTTTCAGTGGAAATGAAGGCAGAAAAAGCATTTAATTACGAAAGTAACCGGGCTTATATAAGTTGTTTATGTGAGAAGATCAGATTTGAATATGGCGGCAATATTTGACGTTTTAATGTTTTGAACAGTTGGTATCAACGCGTGTGGACAGTTTGGCATTTTGTGATGAGAGATTTTTACTAAAGTTTTTATTATGTTCGTAATAGTAATAGTAAGTGCGAAAAGTGCTATTTTAGTGCAGTACTTATGGAAGCGGTACTTACATGAGACGACTTACAAGCGAGATGATTAAAGAAAAGCACGAAAAAGGCTCTGATAGCGTGAAAGAAGACCCTGTAAGCGCCAATAAGGAGCCAACCAACACAGAAGTACAAATAAAAAAGGAAGACGATGTGGCGACTAAGAAAGAGCCCTCCACAGGGCCTATTACGAAGAATGGCGGTCTTGTGGGTTCCACTAACACAGGCTCTCTACAAACAACTCCTGATCTCAAAACAGAAGCCCCTAGTGAAGACCCTGTCACTGCAGCAGTGTCAGAGGCTACATCGCTGCCTCTTAAACAAGAAGATAATATAGTAGACAATGACCCCTTAGGTGATCCATTTGGTTTAGGATTAGGCCCTCCTGTACCAACATCTGGTAATACAGGACATGCACCTCAAACACAACCAGAAAGTATACAGCCATTAGGAAGTAATGTGATAAATAAACAATCTAGTTCCATGGAAGTGCAGTATATGCAGCAGCAGAGTCAAATTTTCGTGTTTTCCACTGGGCTAGCTAATTCAGGGGCTGACGAAGTTTTACATGGTCGATATCCTTCCATTATAGCCTACCATTGTGCCCAACCTGGTACTAAAAAGTACCTAGAAAAGAACCCTTTAAAAGTGACCCAGTTTAATAGACAGCATCCAGTGCAGTGGTTAAATAACATTCACGTCATGAAGAACAAAAATTGTACAAGAAGTCCTGGATTGGGCTCGAAACCTCCTCCTAGTATAGATAATTTCCTAGGCCCCGAAGGACTGGAAGACATGGTTGGACTTGGTGATAGTGATGCGCCGTGGGACCAGAAAACCAACCATCAACTGGACAGTTTAGAAGGTGCAGTGACGAATGGTTTGCCTGATATGGGGCCAGACATGGATTCTTGCAGTCCGTCATTATTAAATGTTCAGCCTAAATTGCAAGGCGTTCAAGTGCCTGATGAAAATCTAACCCCTCAGCAGAGACAACATCGGGAAGAACGTTTAGCGAGCATTCGCAAAATGCATCAGATGTTGTTTCCTGAAAGTCAGAATGATTCTGCAGCGGGCCCCCCCGAAGGGCTGCCGGGCATGTCACCAGGGGGAGCCGCGCCGTTAGGACCGGCCGGGCCAGGGGTTCCCGCCCCGGGTCAACCACCGGTCACTGCCCAATTGGAATGGCAAAAGTTGCAAAATCAATTCTACGACGATCGAACAAAAATTAAGACTCAGCCCCAACAGGGAAGCAATCCTAGCTGTAGTAATCCCATAGTTCCTGTTGGGCCTGTGAGCGGCAATGGCCCACAATCAACCAATGCGCAAAATTCTCGAACTGGTCCAGCTCTAGGGCAGCGTCTCCAAGGTCCCCCACCACCATATCATCAAACCCAACGTTCTGCAAGTGTTCCTATCGCCCTACAAAGTCCCAATCCCACATCACCCAATAATCCGACTTCAAATCTATCGCTGCCTTCTCCAAGGGCTTCATCAGCTCTAAATTCCCCCGCCGATCCAAATCGACCTTTTGGAACTATCACACGGCATATGAGCACTGGACAAAGCCCCACTTCGCAAGACTCACCTTCTGCTCCACGTTTAAATCACAGCAATCCTAGCACGCCTCTTTCATCTCATTTATCTCCAAGCGTTACAAGCAGTAGTACGGAACCTTCATCGACCCATCAATCTACAGGTAATTATTTTACTTCAATATTCTTTGTTGCAAATGAGAAATTATTTTTTGTGGTGGCAGTTTCGTTGTTTTTAATATACGGGGTGGTTCATCTACAATTGGAATTTTTTTTTAAAAGAGTCAAGAACTGATAGTAATTACCCCAACGGCACGTTTTAATGTTACATATATTTTTTAATTAAACACTGTGTGCCAATTGGTTGGTTATAACTCTACTCATCCAACAACATCCTGTGTATATCTCAAAATCTTTATTTAGTTTGCCTTCATAGCGTCCATGTATTCAGTTCACTAATAACAAAAGGTTCCAACACGGAGCAACATTTTTCGCATTTTATGTCCGTTGTCTAAAACTATTTTTTTCCTGACGTTTCGTAAGCACGAGTGGCTTACATCTTCAGAGGTGGCTGCGCCGTGGAGCGAGCGTAAAAATCACCAGATTGTAACCAATGTTTCTTGTATCCGTCGTAGAAAACATTTTTCCTGACGTGAAGTTTCGCATCACGAGTAGTTGGAAGCTTCAAAGGTGGTTGCTGCGCCGAGTACACCACCTCTGAGGATGCCAGCCACTCGTGCTTGCGAAACGTCAGGAAGGACTTTCCAAGGCGGCCTAAAAGCCCGAAAAGCTCATCAGTTTCATGCAATAGCCGCAAAATCAAACTTTTTGATATACTTCATTATAGTTTTTGGGAAACATCTAGGAATTTGTTATGAATTGGAAAATGGTCGATTTTCAAATTCGAATAAAATATGCGGATTGTTCGATTTGAAATTGTAGAATAGCTTTCCATTTTGGCAAGTTCGCACACCATGTAGACGACATGTTTGCGGTAATCGTAGTACTTGAAAACGCAAAACTTTACTAATTAGTAGCTTGTCAATTTAGATATTAAAGCTGTTATTCGATTGTAAATGCGAGTACAAAAGTTATCATTTGGCTGATCAAACCCTAATTTCCCCTAACATGTCGAAACCAAAAGTTGATAAAAGCAATTATTCGAAAGTTTTGAAATATCAATAATTATTCACGTATGGCATTTTAACATTTCAGTGGATGGGATGTTCGGAAGAACACTTCAATCTATGGCACAACAAAAACAGCAAATGAGCACATCGACGACATCATCCTGTTCAACGCTTTCTGCATCAGCGGCAGGAAAAGAACCCAATTTAATGCCAGTACCATCCCCCCAGCAAATCCAGTATCTTAACACCTTTGAAGGTCAAGAATTGATCATTCAAAAGCAACCGAACACTAGTTTGAAGGATGGCAACATTATATCTCCCCCGTAAGTATATATTTTACCGTGTATCTTGAAAAGTATTTCTTTATTTCTGGAAATATACAGGGTGATTCAAAATGATCGCGTGATCTCTATTAAGGGGTTGCTTGGTGATTTCTCTTGATTCGAATACGCATTATTTTTATTTTCAGCGTACTCCCTTCGGGGTTAGACAGTAATTTTGCTACCAATACACCAGATCTTCCACACACGCGCGTATCAGGTCCCAATACACCCACATCAATGGATACACGATATCCGCCCACCCCGGGCGTTCCTTCTGAAGGCTGTCGATTTCCAATTTCGTCCCCACATACTCCAACAGCTACATCCTGCGGTAAGTATAGTTTGACTTTAACTCTCCTACTTCCAGAATAAGGAGACAAAATTAGCATATACATTAAAGAGCGCAATTTTATATTAAAATTACTGTAATAGGCATGATGACAGTATAAAAGAATTAAAGAATAAATGGTTTTAGAGGAAAGTATATGTTGAAATGAATCTAAAAAGTGATCCATTATTAATATAAGTATTGAGATCAATAGGACTTCTAAGATAATATAAGTTAGAAATACAGCAGTCGGCCATCTTGATTGAAACACCAATCCGAGCGCGTTGGAGGCCGTGACGTCATCGACCGTTGAAATAATCAGCGCGCCTGTGTGGTGTCCGATCAATTGTTGTGACTGGTCAACTGTTGGGCTAGTCGGGTCCTTTTAAAGATCCGAATCATTAGAACACACAAAATTAGAGAACCAGAACCATAGAGCATAGGCACACTCCCAATTATTAGAGGTAGTGACGTCACAAACACCAGCGAGCGTTTTCACGCTTAATACAAAATAGAAAGATAAAAATGTGATAATTTAAGTCAACATTTAATTTATGGCAAAATAACGTGTTTTTTTTTATAACATAGGTGTACCTACATTATACAAAAGGATTTCAAAATCTGTCATCATGCCTATTGCACGCGCTTTAGCGGGGAATATTTAAGAGCAGACAATTTGAGCGAGGAGTTTGATTTTAGAGTGACATTCCTTATGTATTAATACATT